ACATTTCATAATCGGTTGGGGCTTAATCCATAGTACCTGAAGTATAAAAAGTTACAATAAGGCATAAATGTTATTTAACAAAAGTCGATATCTAGATTAATTACAACAACCAGACATTTTGCAAATAGTAAAAGAAGAACTGAAAATAAGAAACTAGAAGTATCTTTAAAAAAAGGATACTCGGCCGAGGAAAAACTGATTAACTTGCATATGTTAGTCATATAGCAATGTATGCAAAGCCTACATAACAATGACATAAAACTTGCTTGTAGGGTTATTAATCTTGCAAAATGGAACACCACTTGGAGATATATGCTTTTATTAACAAATCTGTCGTCTTCCAGTAAGTGAACTCAATTTCTTACATTAATATCTACAGAGTCGGAAAGGCAATTTTTTATATAAATTCTTGATTAATATGACAAAATATAAACATTAAATCTATTGAAACACATCAATAAGCATATAATATATAAGCTGTTATTGGACAACTCAGGGTATCTGATAAGTTTCGATATTATTTCTTTTTCTCTTTCTTTTTATTATTTTTTTTTCTTTTCTTTTTTTTTTTTTTTTTGGACAAAAATTCAAAACTCAGATCTTGCGTAAAAATCAGTAAGTTCTTACATAAAATTAACTGTTCACAAGAAAATGTACTGAGATCTGAATGCAAGAGGTATTGTTAAACAGAATTTTAATATCTGAGCAATTTTACTAGAAAGTTTAAGAACTTCAATTTTAAAACTATCCTTTACATTTTAGTTCATAGTATCATTTACATTACAATTTAGAACTATCTTAGAATGACAAGAACTATTCTTTACATTTTATTTTAGAAGGGCCATTGAGATTCCAAGATTTCATTTTATTATTTTAAAATGACTCATGAAAACACGTCTTATATTCAGTTCTTACCTGTACAAAAATGAATATACGGGGCGACATTTTACGGTCTCCACACGGCACAAGAAAACTAATGTCATTAATGTGACAATAAAATAGAAAATAAAGAAACTCTAAAGAACGCCAAAAAAGACAAAATTAAAAATATTGCAGACTCAGTTTCATAGAGCCTAATCATGGACGTTAGTGATAATTGCCAACTGTCGTTCTCGCCCCCAGCACCAACTGTAGCAATGTTGAAAATTTTAAACATCTACGGATGTGTTCATACGGTGGTGACCATGGGCTTTCAATGTTCCCCTTAAGAAATTACTACTACGCCAAAGCGTTAAATTTAAAAGCTAAGCCTAAATTAATGAAAATGAAACCCTCGTCCAGGAATGTCAACACGGTTATGAAGTGTTAATGTAATGAAACAACGCTTTGTTTTGGTTCAGCAGTTAATCCGTGAGACACATCACTAACTGGAAACCAATTTATTAATTGAACACTCAGCCGATTATACTCAAAACATTTGCCGAGAATAGAAAGAATGACAACATTTTACAAGAGATTGTTTCCATTTAAAAAAAAAATTCAAGTTTTTTCTAGTGTAAGAAAATCAATTCAACTTATTAACAAAACCACTTAAATGATGACAGTTGCGGCAAAGTGCTACTTCCAAATAGCAAAATAAAAGTCAAGTCTTAAAAAAAACGCAGGCGCCAATCACTTCAGTTAGTAATACCATGTCTCAAGATTCATAAAAATACAAACAGTCTTCTATAAAAATTAAAGTTTACTTCTTTTTAAAGAAGCATGCGAGAGGTCATTTTGCAGCTGTTGATGATACTGCTCGAAATCGCCAAAAATCTTCGCAAAACAATGATCAATTTATACAGTTGAAAAGACGTAAACCTAATGAACCACTACTTTGTAATGTTTAATGTAATGAACATATAAATGAGATTTTCCGATTTTTCTTTTTACCAAATTGTTGACCTCGATGTTGATTTTTTCGTTTAAGAAACGGAACATGCATTAAAACGAAATCACATTTACGGATAAAATGTTTTTGCTTTTCTATAACCAAATGACTAAAATAATTAAAATAGATATATTTAACAAGTCATAACGACAATCTTTTTAAACATCGGCAATTCTCGTAGACAACCATCAGTGTTAAGTACAGGCTTAAAATATTACAAGTAGATACTTTCAAACATAATTGACATTATCAAAAGCTGAAGTTTTAATCAAGTATAGTTAATGTTATAAATGCTACAATATTTACAGTAATAAATCAAACCCCACTCACATCTTTCATCTTTGTTCTATGAGGAAAAACTGTTGATAGACATTTAGAAAATAAAATTTTCATAATTTGTCTTTATATTGTTGGAAATAAAATCATAATTGCCGATGTCGATAACTTCATGTCTTTGTATAGATTTTAATATTTTCATTACCATGGAAGTAAATATTTTAAATAGTACTGCAAAAAATGAGAACCCCAAGGCCTTCACTTCTTTTCTACCCGAGTCCCCCCGCCCTAAAACGGTCACTACACATTGTCATATAGTTAAGTTAATATCAGAATTGGAAACAATGTTTTCGTACAAAAATAGTTATATTTTTATTTATTATCATTTCCTCACTTCACTGTAGCCTCTTACATATATTCTGATTAAAATTTATTTTTAACAGGTTAGATAATGGAGATTTGTTAATTTCTGGGTACAGGACCTCGTTTGTTACACATTAATTTTGATCGGTGTGCAAACCCTTAGCTTTGCACATTCACTCTTTTCATATGATTTAAAAAAGAAACGCATCATTTTGACAAACACAAGTGTCCGTCATTTTGAAACATACAGATACATAGTCACAATGAATTATTTTCAAAGTGCACAAGAAAAAGTCAAAATAAGTTTACATTTTTTTCATGTATTTGTTCAATTCTATATTTACCTATGCAAAAATAATCAATTATCTGCGGACCCACTTGTAATTCTATAAATATCGTTCGGACTGTATAGATAACGTTCAAGTTTTAAAGACTGTCAGTCAGTCTTTGTTATGATTAAGGTAGTTTTGATATTTCATCCTTAATATTCTTTTTCATTCTATTCAAATATCAATCGCTTTTATAATAGTCAATATTTTGAAATATATCACAAATTGAACTCAAGTTGACACTTTGACCTATCCTTTTGGCCAAAATTGTTGTATTGTCTTTTCATAATGCAAGCTTTTGTTGATATAAACTTCCTTTTTCATAAGGAAAACACTTAAGAATATATTTGTCGTCTTTTCTTTCATTATTTTATATTATGACATGATGTTATTCTGGACTTAGTTAAATTAAACAAAATGGATTATATTTGTGTGTTGCTAAGTTTATTTCTTATTTTACCAATAATCGGTAAATATTATTTTTTACTTTTTTATATAATATCCTTAGTAATTTCTTTTGCATTTGTTTGTGCAAAAATGTCCAGATATGATAATACCTTCGACTCTTGAAAGTTTTTTGTACCATCCATTAACAGGGTGATTTTTCTTGAGATTTTGATTCAGCGGAGCGGGGAAATTTTAGTTATCAAAGGACCGGAATAAGAAAGGGTCCAAGGTATACACCTGACAAAGCCTGTAACTACTGCGACTGAATAGTTATCTAAATTTTGTCAGGAAAACAGTCTTGACTGTTTATTGAATCTTTAATTATGTATGAAATTTATGTCAGACGGTAGACTTATCTTCATTTTGGATTATTATGGTGACTGATGTGTGTCATCTGGAATTTCGCTCCACGGTGCACCAGAGAAAAACACAAAAATATTTTTTTCTTCCTGTCTTTGGAGCGAATTTAAAGGCATGGCACAAATCAGCCAGCATAAATTGTTGGCTTTTCCTGCTTGTTGAAAATGAAAAACTTGTATATTTATTTTTATACTTTTATTTTAAGAAAACTACTAGTATGATGTGAAAATTTATATTAGAAAGTCTGTATGCAAAATTTGGTGAAATGTAAAAAAACTGATACTTAATTTCTTCCAAAATAAAAGTACTGGTACTGGTATTTAAGTAGTTACCCCTATCACTAATGCATTTCCAATTGTGTAAAATGGTAGTTTAGGTACTATTATAAACCGATTGTCCCTTATACCATTGTAAATTGTTTGCTATAAAAGATACCGAGTGTTTCGACAAGGCAGGGGTCTGATTAACGTGATTCTGTAATGTCCAGTCTACCATCGACAGCACAGCGTCAGGTACTATGCCCCTTTACCATCTGGTCCTGTGGTTTGGTCTTCGTCAGTCAGAAAGTTGAGTTGTTGTATAATGTCATCCAGTCTTACTCCGAATTTACACAAGATTAAAAAGTATAATGGGCCCATCTGGAGAGACAAAAATGAGACAAACTGACGTTCTGACTGAAGGGACAAACTTTTCTTCAGTGTAACGTGTGGCAACACTACACCGTATACTCATTATATAGATCACGTTATGAAATTACAAACAACAGATCCATTGTAAAACATAAATTAAAGTGACATTTTGCCCATTCAAGTATAAATGGTTGGTTAAAAGGTCAAAGTCAAAACAACTTGAGATTTCCAATTTTTATAATAAAGATAATAGTCCATTTGAATAATCAATAACCCACATAAATCACAATAAATTCTATAGATATCCTTCGGAAGACGTTCCGTTGATACAAAGAGTGGTGCAGGCCTTTTGTATTTCATGCAATTTATTATAATATATCCTTGATATATTTCATAATCAAATATTGTTCAATGGCCATAATAATACTCAATCTTTTTAAAGGAACGATCTTTATAATAACAGTTAAAAATCATGATATCACCTAGTCCTAATTATAAGACCTATACCTAACCTTTTTCATGTTTATCAATCATTTATCTAATATTTTTCATTTTTCATTTTCCATATTACGTAATATAAAATGTAAAATGTCACAATGCTGAATATAAAATGCTAAATAACTTTTTCCACGGCTTATTATTTGGACTAGATATCACCTGAATAGGTAACACGTGGTGCTAGTTAACTGTCATTAATTCTTTTGTGTATTCATTCTTAATTAATTTTATGAAAAATATGCATATAAATAAACTAATATTTTGTCTATTTATGTAATAAAATAATGTATAATATATGTTTTGATTATATGTGTATGGTAACATTATTGTTCTTTACTGTTATTACCCTTTGCGCAAGAAGTACTTGGTCCCACAGTGCTGTCAATGTCACGTCCTCGGCCTCTGTCTACGCAGCTTCTCACAAGTGGCACATACATAATCCTTTGGACTAGCTACACGTAAATGTGGTAAACATGTACGCAAGTTGTCTTTGATTGACGTAAACTCTAAAGCGCATACAGGGGGATCTGAACAAGACTGAATGGTGCATATTTGTTGGTTGTGTCAACCGTCAGATACACTGGTGGGGATATCATCTTGTCAGCAAGGGGCTTCAGATTGAGGAAGACCTTTCTTCAGCATAAGTTCGAATGAAATGAACAACACGCATGACATCATCATACGTAAAATAGCGTGCTGTGGTTTTTCTTCCAACGCTTTGACATGCTGCCTTCGTGTGAGGCCATGTTGACTGACATGTTTAACTATGGTCCCTAATGCATATTTTTGTAATATCATAACACAACATGAAATTTCCTTTTCCTGCCACTCGAAGCAATGTCGCCCTTGCCCGTCGTTTCATTCTCGCACTTACGACATGATGCACATTTATTTCTTCTTCTTTGTCATTTCCCTGATGGAAAGAATGTAACTCAGTATTTCATCAAATTTAAACTGTGTATGACAGTTAAGACAACAGCCACAACCTTTAATAATAAACTTACTATCTATGTATCATCAGATGTTTCATAACTTTCCTCCTCACTTCTACAACTTTCTGTTACAACATGATCTGACTCGCTACTTCAGAGTTGGAATCTCGTGCTCTTGTAGATACAAGTTATGTTTCGTCATAGCATTCTTCCTCGTCTTAATAGTCTGAGTCAGTATCGTGTGTGTTATGTATCGGAAACTCGGAAAGTTTTGAGAGTTGATAGGCGTGTTCAAAGGAGTTCATCCGAAATGATCTGAATGAAAAGATTCCAGATCCTATGAATGAAGAAACATTTATGAACAAAATGAAAAGAAAACTTGATCAGACGGTAAGCAAACTCGATTTGTTAGCGTGACAGGCCATTGCTGTATCCATCGAGCTATTAAGCCATCAAATGTCATCCTATTTACTAATCAATATTTCAATTTAAATTCAAATTTTATTCCAGAATGACGTAGTATATTTGGATAAAGATCTCTATTACTTTCCTGTTACTCATAACAAATTAAGAAATAAAGTAATAATTAAACCGGCAAGTGATAAGATTGTTCTTAAATCAATCTAAAGATAGGTCTGCCGATAAAAGATGACAACAAACAAACAAATTAAATTTGTTTTTTTTTATTTCTGTTTAATAGACTTACACAACAATATATCATAAACATGATATAAAGACATGTGTATGTGTGTCACCAGGTAATTTATTATTCTGTATTTCAAAGCATACTGGTATACTGTAAACGTTGGTGTTATTACAAACTTCAAAGGTTGTGTTCAATTTGTGTTCAATCTCATTTGATGCGATGCTGCATTTATAAACATGTATGATATGCTTGTATGTTTCTTATTGTTGTTTGTTTTATTCCATTAATTATTCTAAATAGATACTAACTTCAAACTCCTCCTCCATCTTATAAACTTATAAATCGCTGTCATTAACAGTGTACCAATACCACGTGACCTTGGGATATGCACCAGTCTACGGGAATACTGGATCTTCTTCAGTATATGAGCAGTTTCATGGCACACTTTGTATAACTTTGTAAGTTGATTGTATTGTATTAAAGCAGACTTCCGTTGCAAGCTATTTCGTTTTCATGCATTTTCTGATCGTTGAAAAACATTTTTATTTACTATACGATGTATATGTATATTCATAAATGCATGCACGAAACATAAAGTAATGTGTGTTATTGCATCTAAAGATATCAACGAAACTAAAATTGCCATCAATACGCTAGTCAGATCGTAATTTTCACGAATGATCTTGAAAAATAAACATTTTCATGGAAGTAATTTTGATGAGGTTTATTAAAGTATAAGGAACCGTATGCGCTAATTCATTTCTTCTTATTTGGTGTACAATAAAACAATAGTTGTCCATTTGCTTATCGCGGTGCTCGTTTTAGCCACTAAATTGCACAATTATTCGTTACGTTTGCATAATTCTTGCGTTATTTGCACATTCCTGCGTTACTGGATATACATTGTGATTATACTATAAGCACTTTCATCATCAGTTAGTTTTTGTTCTTTATGTAGAACAATCTTAATATCATTACATATAACTTGGATCTTTTGTCTTGTATACGTGATAGTATTGTTACTTAGTTGCATTACTAATGACACTCTGTTTATTAAACAATTAAAATATTCCGGTCTGTTTCCCTCATTACAATGTATATTGGTGAGTTGTCTGGCAAACCTGGGATGACTGATAAACAACAGGAATAAATGTACTAATAAAATTAATAGTCTTTATTGTTCTGAAGGAACGAAATTCTATCCAGTCCACGAAAGACGGTTACCTTGGGTATTGAATAAAAGAATGTAAAAAAAAATTTCATCAACGAGTGCCACTGTGTTAAAAAGCTGAATCTTTCATACTAAGGCATGGCTACCCGTTCTTTACTTAGTATATGTATGGTAATACGGTAAGCATCTCTCACTTGTCGCGTTAAGGCGTAACACTTTTCACAGCATACAAATGGACGTGTTCCTAAATGTGCATGTTTATTATTTTGTTCTCCGATTTCTTCTATATTTCAAGTTTTCCCTGCAGCGATCTAACAGATATGTCAGCTTGATTTTATCCAGTCTGAAATAGAATAAAACTCATTTTACTGCAAAGGGTATGAAGATTTGGATCTTGGGGTCGTGGACGGAAGATTGCATTTTCCAGTATCGTCAATGAACAGGCTCAGTCAAACAGAGCCTGCAACATTTTCAATTTTGCCGTATTGAGCGTTATTTTCAGGGATTCTGCTTGTCGCTCTGAAATCCAACATTAGTATTGTTTCATGACACTTACAAATTTTTCCCAATTATTACCGTGAAAGATCAATGAATAAAGAGCAAATAAGATCACTTGTACAGTAGCGCAGCGAGTAAAAATCATTTGTGCATGCGTTTCTGAATATGGAGGTACATCGTATAGAAAATAAAAATGTTTTTCATGGTTAACATAATGATAGAAAGAGAACGTAAGACATTTTGCTGCGAATGTTCAAACAGTTCTGAAATCTGCTTTAAACTGTAGTC